AGATCTGTGCAGGAGAATTCACCCTTAGTGGCACAAAGTAGCCTGAAAACAGCTCTCTGACATCCTGCTTTAATGTGGACAGCAGCTGAAAGGGTAAAGAACTTAGGAAGTTTATGTACTTACAGGGAAGTGGGAAAAAATGCATATTTGAGTCTGTAGATGGTAAGACAGAGAAAAAGCTTTTGAATGGAGAAACAAACTTGCAGCAAAGTTGCCAGTTAATGGATTCTTTTATAGTAATTTGAATGAAGGTGACTAAAAAGCAACTCAATGAGTTGGGAGCGCTGGAAAAAGAAGAACTCTGCAGTCTGAGTCAGTACCAACCTGATACTTCACCATGTGGCTGTTCAGGCAGAGAAATGAGCCTTACAGCAGCTATAAAGAGATATGTGAAGATCCTGATGGCTTTGATGAATTCAAGCTGTCTGAGCCTCAGCATAGACTGAGGGGGGAGCAAGGGCCCATTTTTTTGGAACGGGTTGGGGGGAAACCATTCAATCCTTCTTACTTGAATTTTAAAAGTGAAAGCTAGTGGATCCCAGATGCCAAGAGAGTTTTTAACTATTTTAATCATTCAGATGTGTGATGGCAGTTTTTTTTTTAATGCAAATTCTGTTCTGATTCTCTCCAAGCCCTTGGTCCTCTCCACGCTTCATAGCTTAAAAAAAAAAAAAGTCCAGGGAATAAGTATTCACATTTATCAGAAGCTTCAGAAATGACAACTCATTTTTCTGCTCACCAGTTCCCAGTTTGGTCTGGGATAAATCTGAAAGAGCAACAGTATGCTGCATCCACACATGGGCTGGCTGCAAGGCAGCTGTGAGGAAAATGAGGAAAGTGCACCCAGCTGTTCCTGAGACTACTCATTTTAGATGCAACATCCCTGCAGGGGGAATAGTCTGGTTTAACAGAAGCAAAGGAATCTTGTTGTCCTTCCTTGCAAAAGATTCTTGCCTACAACCTTGTAACCTCTCCTAGAGTTATTGGCAGATTTTTCAAACGTCATCTCTTCTTCCTTACTGCATCCGAACTCGCAGACAGCAAGAGATGGCAAATTTACTGTAGGCCATGGTAAGGTCTTCCAGAGGTCTGTTACTGCATTATTTCCAGCTTGACACTTTCAACTTGCAGTCACCAGGGCTTGCTGTATTTCATTCTGCCAATATTAACTATTCCCTACTGCTTAAAAATTAGCTATGGGGGACACTGCCTATGCCTCTGATTAGTTCCTACAGACAAAAGGGTGTGAGACTCAATATGTATCAGAATAACAGCAGCAAACACTGGTGTCAAAATGTTTTTTAGGACTCCTTTAAACATGGTCCATTTTCAGTCTAGTCTGCAATTCTGGTAATATCCCTGTTCTCCTAATTACCTACCTCAAGATACTATCATCTCGGTAACCCTGCTCATTAGTAAGTTGATAATAGGTCAGTTGATGACAGTGGGAACACACAAGACTCAATGGGACCCAGATTAGGGTCCTGGCCTCTACTGCAGCCACTTCAAGGACTTACATGCATCTGCTAGAAGCAGTGTGGCTTCTACAGAATCTTATGGGTCCTATGAATGCTTCAGTAGTTCGATGAATTAAGAAAGTCTGCTCTGAGATAGTCTGCACATCATTGAGCATCTGTCTCATGAGAACAGTGCTTTTACCAGGAGAACATGTTTAGCCCCTGGGCTTGGCTCTCCTGGCTGGGTCTAGAGCAGGATGTTCTGATAGCAACAGGCTATTTCTCTTTCTGTTGCATCTGTCTTTGACACCCTGTCACTGGGGTTGGCAATTCCACAAACTTTTGTTTTGGATCCATTTTCTCCTCCTCATGATAGGAAAGAGTTCTTCCAAGATCTTTTACTCCTGTGCTCTTTCCTTCCCTTGAGGGCAAGGGAGTAAGTGGGCCCCAAGGAAGGATTCCCTGGCCACCGGGTGAGGGGAAAGCCGAATTCTCCTATCTGCTCCATATCTGGCGGAGCAGAGACAAGGGATGGCAAGAGAGCTTTCCTGCACAACTGCAGGCTAGTGGCTACCTAGAAACACTTCCCAGCACTTGGCACTATGGGAGCTCCAGATGCTCCTTTCCTGGAGCAACAAGCTGGGAGCAGCACACCCAGGGCACTCACAGCGTTTGGCTGCCTTCATGCTTTCCTGCACGAATAGAGCCTTTGAGGTGAGGGAGGTGGAATGTCTCAAGCACACAGCAGTCCCTACTTCTGCTTTCAGCTCTGCCAATGATCATTCTGGAATGGTGAGTGAAGGGAAGTCTTTATCTTTGAAGTTTACACAGCTATAATATTTACCTGAAATTTAAATGAGTCAGGATGGTTGGAGGGGGGATATATCTACTGATAAAGAACTGATGATACAAACCTTCAAATCTTTTCTGAAGTTTCCCTAGAAATTGTGTTTTACAAGTGAGTCTGAAGAAGTTCTAGCCAGTTCTAACCACATATGATGCAGCTGGTACTCTGCTACTCTGTGCTTTCTGCAAACCTTACAGTGTAGGAGAGCATTTGAGAGGAAATGCACATATGATGAGATAATCAGTTTTGGACAGTGCACAAAAAGGACTGCCATTTACAACAAAACCAAAAACCAAATCAACTCTCAATATGGCCAGCACCACTCCTAGGAATTCCCAAAGGAATACTCTCCTTAGCTGACATTTGGTCTCAGCAGCTTTCTGACCTTAGAGTTTACAGAGGATAGAGGAATTGCAAGAAGATTAAGATAAATATCATAAATTGGAAAGAATGTAGGACAATGGGACATGCTGCCCAGAGAGGCTGGGAAACTGCCAGGGTTGGAGACAGGCTTGGTAGCCTGATTTTGTGGCTATCATTCAGGGGTTGCTTATTTGAAAATGAAATCAAAGATGCAGCACGGCAGGCAGATGCACTAGACCCAGTATAAACCCCTTCTGCTCTGTGTGAAAGCTTCAGGGGTTCCAGGATCCTTATTACCTTGTTCATGCCAGCAAGACCAGGACTTTACTACTGGTGAAACAATATGTTTGGAATCATGCATCATGGAAAGGTTTGGGACTGGTCTACAGCATTCTTCAATGCAAAACAGAAGTCAGACTTACGCTAATGTTAGTTTTATCACTTCCACCAGAAGAAATGCTCCATCGTTTTATAACCTAAACATACACAAAAGAAAAACATTTCTTTTGTTGTCACTTTATTATCTATTATCTTTAGTTTGCACTCTTAGGGAAAACTCAAGATAGGAAATGACTTCCAGCCAGGTCCCTTTTGTCAAATGGCAGAAAAAAAAGAACAGAAAAAAAGCCTTTTGATTTTTTTTCTTTCCTTCTTTTTCTTTTACTACCTTGAATATTGGTAAACCAACAGCCACTAATGACCAAATACTGATCTTTGCAAGCTCCCCTTCTTGGATTGCATCGAAGAACAGATCACAGCTTGAAAAAGAATCAGTCAGTATCGAAAGGCCATCTTCACAGATTCCTTTCAGCAGTTCAAAGCTCTTTGATGATGACACTAGCAACTTTAATTCTAGATAGATGTGGATGCTTCTCTGAAATGCCCAAGACATCTCAATCTATAAACACCCCCTGGAAATGCACCACAAATTAGCATTTACATGGTATTTGGGCACTTCTGATTTTACACCTATGTCACACCTAAATAATAGAAAAAAAGAAGAGAGTTGGAATTCAGTGAAACATACCAGGATTCTGGGTCAACATATATTTATTTGATCTGAATTACTTTGATAGATTCACTATTGCTTTCTTTCTATTACACTGGTCAGCACACAGCAACACCTTGCTATGAACAGTAAAAGTAAAGTCTGCTGGGAGCACAGCTCTAAGGCTCAGCACAGCTATGCTGTGAGACCTGAATGGAGACCAAAGGCTCCACTAAAGCTCTTCTTCCACTGAGAACTCAGCTAAACTCCTTACTCAATCACCCTCCAGACCCTGCTCTTGTTTTTGTGGGAATCCTATAAGCCCTAGAAGTGCCCTCTTGGCCATGCTGCAGGAGACTCAGAACTGGATCTGACATTGCTGGCAGATAAACTGAGATTTTTAAAAATAGCAGCACCATGTTCCTCTCAGTTAGGGCAGGCACAGCCGAAGCTCTATTTCATCCTGCTATCTTCTGTCACTTTTTTTTTCCTTTCTGCTGTAGAAGATGCAATTCCTTGCAAGCTTTTGGCCCCTGCCCAGCAAGCATAACAGGCTGCAATATCACACAGGGGCCACCAGTCTGCTCTTCCTTATTTGTGTTATTCACATAGCTAACCACACAGATTCTTGGAGTATTTTTCTAGTACCAAATCTCTGCCCCTCCGAAAGGCTGCAAGGTCTTTTCCTCAGTTTGCCACCTTAAAAATCTCTTATTACCTTGGAAAATTTCTCCTGCCCAGGAAAATCACATAGTGAGCAGCTGCCACAAACACTGTCATGCCACTTTAACTAACATTTAGTCCTCGGGAAGTGCTGCCACCACCATGCCTTAAATCTCATTGTTGTGACTTTCCTAGATAGCTAATGTCTCTCATTGTCACCTCGGTCTCTCACTCAGCTCGTGCAGGTGGGATAGGAAATGCCTCTTAGTCCCACCCTCTGCCCATTTTCATTTCACTTAGTTTTCTTCAAGTTTGTTTGAATTTCCAGTTTCTAGCTACAAATGAGTGGAAACAGCATTAAGGGATGACCTGAACGGTGATGTAAAGAATAGACATTAATATGAGGAACAAACACAAAAAGAAAGCAGATTCTATACACCATGAAATGATATGAGGATAGATATTCTCCTTCTGGGCTGCTGGCCACTTTGTAGATGACATGTAGATGGCACCTTTGGGACTCCATGTTCTGTGTGTTACACATGGGCTTATTGCAACAGAGACAGAAACCCAAAGAATTTGGTAATGGCTGCTAAGCTTGTTTGCTTCTCAGTCCAACTCTGTGATCCTTCTGTCACTAGATGGCTCTAGAAAGTGGTGGTTCTGGAATTGTGTGACTAACCTTGCTGTCCGTTGTCGGAGACTCTTTCTCCTTCTCTGCGTGCTGCAGTTTTCTGTTCAGGTCTTGGAACATATCTTGGTGACGTTTTCTTGTGTGCATGATTTTCTGAAGCAAACACAAGAGACATAGGTCAACAATTCCTTTCCAACTGTACAGAATCAACATCTCTTCCAAAAGAAAAATATTTTCTCACAACCTAACTCTGTCTCCCTGCATGTACAGCCTATCTAAATCAGCTTTAAAGGTCACTGAGGACTCAGTGTAACACTTCCTTGAGTTTCAGGATGAGATGGAAGGAGCAAGTGAGACAAATCTGATTTTTGGTCTGAACTTAAACCTGCAGTTGCAAACTGCCCTATTTGTGCTCGACTTGCAATGGTCTACCAAGCTGACCCTGGAAACTTTGCTCAAATTCCCTAGAAGATACTTGATCCCATGCTCACTCTCTTTTCAGACTGCCTCTCTTGCAAATGTGTTTAGAGCTTATTTGGGCATGTAGAACTTTGGGACAAGAAGCTCCATCAGAAACTATCCCACAAAATACTGCACAATTTCCTTTTCTTGTATTCTGACTATTCTACATTTTACTTCTATCTTCTACTTCCATAAGGAGAGATAGGACCAATTTTTGTATGAACTTCCCTTTGCATGTAAGCTCCTAGTAGCCCCACAGACCCTCTGTGTGGATTGGCCCTTCTCTTTCAAAGCTTTTCACTTTTCATCTTGGCTGTGAGGACAGACATTTCTCCATGTGTATAGGGTAGACAGATACTTCTTTCTCTCTAACAGATTATGTGAAGTTCATTACTGGGTGTGAGGGTGTGAGGGACTAGGGCTAATGTTGAGTTTTGATGGTGAGGACACA